AGAGTCTATAGCAATATCTACTAATATCTGGCCCCTCAGGTTTTGATGCGTGCGTGACCAATGAGATAAAGAGTCTATAACAATATGTGACTTACGATCAGGGAGAAGAAATGTCCCTCGTCAAAGCAGGATATACCACCAGGACAGAACATGTCGATCCACCCATCCTTGCCTTTTCTTACTGGTAGAATGGACTGGTGTACCTACAAAGGTCCATGAATAATATTAGGGTGTTAAAAATTTTGCTATTGCGCTTATTCGGGTATATACTAGTTATACAATAGTTTTGCCAAGTGTCATTCCATGGAATATCCCACAAGGCACTTGTATTTTCTAGCATACACACGCGTTAGGTGAGTGTGTTTACCAAGTGACAAGTGGGATATTCCATGGTTTGTCACCAGAAAGTATCGTATAACTACTATATACAAGTGACAAGTGGGATATTCCATGGTATGTCACCAGAAAGTATCGTATGACTATTATATACGAGTGACAAGTGGGATATTCCATGGTATGTCACCAGAAAGTATTGTACAACTATTTCATCCCACACCATTGAAAGCCGGCACACGCAATGTTTTATAAGAATAAACAGTAGAATACCTCAAAATATACAACGGCTTTCCTGCATTCTGATTGGCTGTATTTGGATGGTGTGTGATAAAACAAAATATTCTATAAATTTATCGCTTACGTCACATCTTTTATCTTCTGCGAACAACTTGATGACTCCACTTATGTACCTAAATAACAATAAATGAAAATATATTAAACCCATTCATACTATTAGATGCATCAGCCCTTGCACATAAAACACAGGCGTATTTGTCTGATAGCAGTTCGACAACTTGTCGATAATAGTCCCCTTCACAGTTCCCTGTGCCATCTTGAAAGGTGGCCATGCCTTTTCATCGAAGCGAGATGAATGGTAAGCTTGCAATAATAGAGACACGTGAATAATTGTCCAAGGTGTTAAAAAAAGGTCTCTATCATTGCAAGCTCACCGTTCGATGCAAAGGCATGGCTACCTTTCAAGATGGCGCAAGGAACTGTGAAGGGGACTATTGCCCGGACATAGCAGTCTTTACGCTTTTAACTAAATGTTTCGTCTACAACCTATAGACCACTTGCAGCACGTCGGAATGAAGCTCAATTTGGAGGACATAACAAAAGGTTTTAAATTCTCATGAGACTGAAATTCCTTTGAGTTTGTCCACCAAATTGAGCTGCTTTGACGTCACATGCAAGGGGTCTATTGCTTCCATGTATGTAGAATCATCCAATCACATGGCACAGTTATTGCGGTATGATACCGTGTGATTTTAGTACGACTACAGTAATTTCCCAGTCATACAAAATATGATCATTTAGAGTTTGTATTCTAACACTTACAGCGCAAACGTTTCATTCTTCAGCGCTCTGCAAGGAAATAAAAGACAAATAAATATGCCGATCAAAAAGAAGTTCCAGCATTAACATGAACTACAATAATGATTAATTAAAAATCCTTGCTCCGTAACAGCGGCTCATACAAGGAGCAGTTTAAATAGTATGCCTTGAAAGTGACGAATAAAGAAGACCGGTTAATAATAATATAAAAAGTAAAGTCAATCATTTGATGTTAATAGTTTCCGTAGTGAGTCCTTTGACGATGAGGCTTATTACTAAGGCAATCAGTGCGCACTAGAGTCACTCTGTACATTAGTGATCCTTTTTGAAGCCAGTGCTCCATTCAATACATATGGCTTGGAGAGAAGTGTAAAGAAAATTGCGTACCCAATTTGCCTTTCTGGGGTGGGGTTAGTCATATTTTATGGGGATGGTTGGGTTGGGTAATAAAGCCATGATCAAGTGCTTAGCGTTCGTAAACCCATTAATGTACGCAGAAGGCTGAGCATGCTAAGCACGAAAGAAGCGAAAGAGTTGCACGAGGCGTTGCCATAGGTTTGAGCTGTTATACTGAATTCCAAGACTGTTTTAGCAGGATGAAATCAACACTAGGCTTGATGTTCTAAGATAGAAAGGTTGAAATCAACCAATTATTGAATGTACTCACTGCTTAGGGAATGGAATAGGCTGCAGCAGGGTGGACACACTGGGTCTCCAGTCTTCAAACTGTGCGCTAGTTCAAACATAAAATGCAAGATATTAATATTTTGGCAGTGGTTGGCTATGATGTACACAACAATTGTGGTTGTCATCGTCATCATAGAGCAGGTACATTATACGTCATTGCCGCCATCTTGGTTGACGATAACAAAACACTCCTCATTAGCTTCTCTCGTTAGGTCAACCAAATAAACACTCTATTCTATTTCACTCACTTCTATTTCAAACCGGGCTATCATTACGATTTATACTCGGAAATCAAATTATACTTCACCCTCAGCTTGCTTCACTATGAAGTATAAACCTACCCCTCACACGCACAACAATGATTCTTCCTAAGGGACTGTGCAATAATAATCAGGAGGGGGGCTGAATAATAAGCGTCACATAGCAAAAAGTAGATAATACCCCCCTTTCAAAATAAAAGTTTATTTCTCACCCCCACCCCCCCTCCCCCCGCCCAAGGTCTGTTAAAAATAACATTGGCTATTCAAAATCTATATCTGGTCTTTTCTATAACTCACCAAGTGTCAAGTACTGTCATAAAACACAAGAGAAACTTGGTATTTATCTCTCCAACTTGAATTCTGAAGTAAAAAAAGAATACAGTTATCACCATGGTGCATTCTGATATAGTTTGTGACTATAATCTTCTTCACATGATAATGAACTTTATCAGTCGTTACGTGAATGAATGACCTTCAAATTGTATATGTACCCTGGCCCAACCTCTGGGCTGATCTAAGTCAGGGCACGGCTAACTTACAGATCCAACCCTGAAACAACCTCTGGGCTGATCTAAGTAAGGGTACGGCTGACTCACAGATTGAACCCTGAAACAACCTCTGGGCTGATCTAAGTCAGGGCACGGCTAACTTACAGATCCAACCCTGAAACAACCTCTGGGCTGATCTAAGGGTACGGCTGACTCACAGATTGAACCCTGAAACAACCTCTGGGCTGATCTAAGTAAGGGTACGGCTGACTCACAGATTGAAACCTGAAACAACCTCTGGGCTGATCAAAGTCAGGGCACGGCTAACTTACAGATTCAACCCTGAAACAACCTCTGGGCTAATCTAAGTCCGGGCATGACTAACTCACAGATCCAACCCTGAAACAACCTCTGGGCTGATCAAAGTCAGGGTATGGCTAACTCACAGATCCAACCC